AAGTTATGGGGCTTCCCAGGTCGTCACCACACAAAACCCCCATAGGAAGACCCCCATAGGAAGAATTCGAATAGGAACATGGAATATAAGAACCATGCTTCGACCGGATAAGTTGGAAAATGTCAAGAGAGAAATGAAGAGGCAGAATTTGGATATTCTTGGGCTTAGTGAAGTTAGATGGGAGGACAGCGGTGACTTTTTTAGCAATGAATTCAGGGTTATTTATTCTTGTGGAACTAAAGGAAAGAATGGTGTAGCATTTATTTTAGGTGAGAAGGTAAAAAACTCAGTTGAAAGAATTGAATGCAGAGGTGACAGAATTTTAATGATTAAAATAAAAAGCGATCCCATGGATATGATGATATTTCAAGTATACATGCCTACTGGAGACTATGACGATGAAGAAGTAGAAGAAATTTATGACCAAATTGAAGATATAATAGAAAATGATAAAACTAAGAAATGCCTAATTGTTATGGGAGACTGGAATGCATCTGTAGGAGGAGGAGGAGATGGAAAAATTGTGGGCAAGTTTGGGCTAGGAAATAGGAATGAAAGAGGCGAACGACTAGTTGAATTTGCTACCAAGCATCAATTAATAGTTGGAAACACATGGTTCAAACAATCCAAACGTCGACTATACACTTGGAAAATGCCCGGAGACATTGGAAGGTATCAAATAGATTATATTCTTATTCAAAGTCGTTTTAGGAATGCAGTCAAGAAAATTCAGACATATCCAGGAGCAGATGCAGATTCTGATCACAACTTATTAACTGCAGATATTGTGATGAAATTGAAAAAAGTTTTGAGAGCCAAAAGAATAAAAAGATGGAATTTGGAAAAGCTAAATGGAAATACTGGATTAAATTTTAAAGAAAACCTGGAATATAAATTAAAAGAACTTCCATATGACTTTGACTGTGAGTTTGACCCAAACGAAAATTGGAAAAGAATTAAAGATATAATAAAGGAATCGGCTGAAAATTTTCTTGGATATGTAAATGGTGCTAGAATAAAAATACCTTGGATTACTCAAGAAATGATTGAGAAAATGGATGAAAGAAGAAATTAGAAAAATATAAATAATGAAAAAGGGGGAATGATGTACAAGAAGCTAAATAATGAATTGAGGCATGAAACTGGAAAAGCTAGAGAAGCTTGATTAAGTAAGGAATGTGAGGAAATCGAAGAACTGAACAAAAAAGGCAGATATGATCTATCATACAAAAAAGTCAAAGAACTAACAAATGATCATACCCGCCAAATTCTGAGTATTGAAGACAAAGATGGAAAAGCACTTTTAACCCCAACTGATATAATGGGCCATTGGAAAGAATATATTGGAGATCTCTATGGAGAGAACACCAAACCTAAAGAGTTAAAATTGGAAAAATCTTCTCAAATAGCTAATGATGAAAGAGGACCTATTATCATGAAAGATGAAGTTGGATTGGCAATTAAAGAATTGAAAAACAAAAAGTCAGAAGGAGTAGATGGAATACCAGCTGAATTTCTAAAAGGGTTAGGCAAGGAAGGAATCGAGAAAATAACAGACTTATGCAATCTCATATATAAAACAGGAGAATGGCCTGAAGACTTTGCTCAAAGTATTTTGATACCTATACCAAAGAAAGCAAAAGCTAAAAAGTGTAGTGATTTTAGAACAATTAGTTTAATTTCACATGCCTCAAAAATCCTTCTTAAAATCATTAACAGAAGACTCTACAACAAGGCTGAAACATTTCTATGTGAAGAACAATTTGGATTCAGAAAAGGAACAAGGGATGCTATTGGCCTCTTGAGAACAATCTGTGAAAGAAACATTGAGGTTAATAAGGATACGTACATTTGCTTTATTGACATGGAAAAGGCTTTTGATATGGTTAACTGGACAAAGCTAATGGAAATCTTAAGAAAAATAGGAACAGATTGGAGAGATAGAAGACTCATTGCTTCACTTTATATGAATCAATCTGCCATTATCCGAACAAAAACTGGAGAAAGCAAACCATGCAGTATTGGAAAAGGAGTCAGGCAAGGGTGTACACTTTCACCTACTCTTTTTAACATTTATCTTGAGGAATTAATGAATGAAGCCATAAGTGAGGACAGCCTCGGAATTAAAATTGGAGGCCAATTAATACAAAGTATTAGGTTTGCAGATGATATTGCTTTACTTGCACCAAATGAACAAACTCTACAATGTTTGGTAACAAAACTCAACAAAACTTGCAAAAAATTTGGAATGAAAATTAACATAGCTAAAACAAAAGTGATGAAAGTTGGAAGGCTAATTAGCAAAGATTTGAAAATCCTAATTGATGGAAACAAAATAGAGCAAGTTCAACATTTTAGGTATCTTGGCAGCATTATTCAGGGAGATGGCAGATGTGAAAAAGAAATCAAAGAACGAATCAGGGCTGGAAAAATGGCTTTTTATAAGAACCTTCTTATTGGAAAAATGAACACTTAAAAAGAAGTTAATAAAATGCTTTTCCTGGAGCACAACTTTATATGGAACATGGACTTGGACCTTAAGGAAAAAGGAAATAAACTAACTTGAAGCATATGAAATGCGGTTATGGCGAAGAATGAAGAAAATCAAGTGGACAGAAAAGGTTAAGAATGAAGATGTTTTAAATTTGGTCCAGGAACAGAGATCTCTTTTAAAAAACAATACAAAGAAGAAAAAATAACTGGCTAGGTCATATATTGCGAGGAGAAGGATTAATGCGAGTGGCATTAGAAGGAAAAATTGATGCAAGGAAACAAAGAGGAAGAAAAAGAAAAGTATTGATAGATGATTTTTTACTAGGCAAAACTTATAAAGAAATAAAAGAGGAAGCCTGAAATAGAGAATGTTGGAGAAGGATAATTCTATAATTTGACTGCTTTCCACGGACCTTTCCTAGGACAGAACACCCATGAATGAATGAATGAACATAGATTTTGGACAACAAAAAACTACAGAAAATTTGTAAGAAAATTACTTGAAAACTACACTGAAATGGGTTAATGAATGTCCCATTAACTACACTTTTTATATTTGCATTTAAATGTTTTTGCCAAAAATTTGGGTGCTGTCAGTGATGAGCAAGGAAAGAGGTTCCACCAAGATATCCTAACAATGGAACCATGGTATAAAGGCAGGTGAGATCCTGGAATGATGGGAGACTATTGCTGGTTCCTTGTGAGAAAGTGATATAGAACATAAATGAAAACAAGCAATTTTTTATTGTGACATCATCACAATACTGGGCTGCAATTTTTAATCATATCTTTAATTTATTAAATTTAATATACAGTAGAACCCCTCTAATCCGTCACCTTTGGGACTGGGGGTATGGTCGGAATGCAAAAAAGGTCGGATTACCAGAAAAAAGTAAACTAAACAATCTTCCCCTTTGTCCAGTCTTTGTAGCACTGCTAATTTTTCATTTAATGAAAGAGTAACATGTTTACGTTTTACTCCTGACATGTTGAAAACACACACAAAACTGTACATGTACACACAATGTAAAACATATACTGTAACAAACACAGAAAAACGCCACGGACGGTGAGTCACCGATGAGTCGGGACAAGTTTCTCGACTCCAACCACGGTCGGATTAACCGGAGTGACGGACTAACCGAGGGCGGACTAGAAGGGTTCTACTGTATATGTTCTCCATTTTCAAATTAGTAGTGTCTCGCCCCGTACCTCATACTTTTCGTTTAGAATTGAGTCATGCTGGTCATGTTTCTGACTTCTTTCAAGGGAAATTTTTGAATTGAAATAAAATGACTTCTGATTTATATCAGAAGTTATTATATAGTTAATTGGTGTTTCCTGCTTATAAGGTTTCCATATCTGGGTTTTTTCCTTTAATCTATCTAACTCCATTTTTGAGATTAAGGAAAGACAGACAGACAGAAATATGGATGAGTGTGAGAATTTATAGATCTAAAATTTTTTTCAAATTGCAGCCCAATCAGCATCTTATCAAACTGAAAAACAATTTTTCAATTTGATATAAGTTGAATATCTCTCCTATTTTTACCTATATTTACAATAAATAAAATCTTTTGAGATAAAATAAAAATTATATTCTAGAACTCAAAAATATATACATGCTGGAAAATTATGCTTTCCATATTCATAAAAAAAAGGATGTTTCATAAACCCTTGTAAACTTGCTATAATATCAGTTGCATAAATTTTGTTTTTATTTGTTGAGTAGTTATTTTTATAACAGATGAGATTTATTTTAATTTATGTATTTTAAAAATATTTATTTTATTAATATATTATAAATATATGAAGAATTTAAAATAAAATAATTAAAATATCACTTTCTATATCAATGCAATTTATGCAAATGTTAGCTGTTTTTCAAAGTTTTTAAATATTTTTTAAATTTACTGTTTTCTCAGTAACATGATTTTTTATACATAAGAGATTCTCTTTTGAATTTTTTGATGAAGCATCTCACACTGAAAGTAAAATTTAAGGCTAAGTTTCTTTAATTGAGTTAATTTTAAATTGAAAAGAAAAGAATTAAGAGAAATAAGAAAAAAAATAAATTACAATAAAAATGCAAACTTTTCAAAAAATAAAAATAATTAACTAATACACTATTAATACAAAATGGTATCTAATATTTTTTAATATTCTGTATGCATCATGTATTGAACTACCAGGGATTAAAGTCTATTCATATCTTCTAAAAAGGGATTAGTTGTCTGTAGTTCTGCAGAGATTATCTATGGAAAGGTAGAGTTTGATGATTGAAATGCAGAATTTAAAAATTTTTATGGAGAAATAAATAAGACAAAAAATAGTTATATATTTTTAAAAAAATGTCAACAAGAATAACAAAAATGGAGGAGAGATTAGGTTGTTTCTTAATTTGATGTTTTATATAATTTTTAAAAATATTACTGTATAATTTCTAGTATTTTATTAAATATAAATGGTATTTATTGTGAAATATCTTTATTATTTTAATTCAATAGGAGCAGCAGAAAAAAGCTCTAAGCATGGAGCAGAAGATAAAGCCAACAATATTATTATGGCAATGAAAGAAAGAATGAAAATTAGAGAGAGGGATAAGCCAGAAATTTTTGAATTAATCAGGTAAATCTGAAACTGAAAATTATAATTTTATTATAATAAAAACATAATAGTTAATTTTATAGAATTAAAATTGTGTGAAATCATTTTAATTTTGTCATAATTAAAAATTCAAAGAAAAATTTTTTTAATTCTAAAATTCATAGTTGTCTAAAAATGTAATTATAATTATAAATCAATATATGATGGCTAACATTTAAATAGTAATGAAAATAATTATTTTCTTAATTTAAAATTTGCTATATTTAGCTATAATATATTTTTTTTAAATATTAATTTTAAAAAAAATCACAATACTATCATTTTCATTGCTCATTGCCATCACAAAATTGTAATTTTAATTTTCTTTCAAATTGAACTATTTTAATTGATTTTAGATTAATAATAATGAATATTTTGAGCTTATATATTCAAATTTTTCATTTTATAATTGTTAGGAAAAATTGTTAATATTTTTCCTGGAAATCTCTTTGTTGTAATATAAATCAGAAGGTTATACTCATATATGAAATAATCTTTGTATTTATAATATAACAAGTAAATATATCATTTTTGAATTTAAAAGTTGATATTAATCATTAGTAGAGAACATGAATGATGATCGAAAAATGTTTTGATTATAACTAAATATTGAATTTTTTTTTTTTTTTAACAGTTTAACTGATTCAAATTTATTCATTAATTTTAATTAAAAAATAAACAAAAATGTGAATAAAACTAGTTATAANCATTGAAATCTATTGGCTAATGATACAGGTAAATTCATGATCATGGCATTAACCATTAACCATCAACAATTAATCATGATGAAAAACTCTGTTGACAACATTAAAAGTTGTTTTAATGTCATTAACAAAGTTTTTCTCATTATTATTAATAACTTTATGTGTGTTCAAAAAAGAAACTGTAATTTTCTCAAGAATCCATTAAAAAATGCAAGTATTTAAAATGAAGAAGAAAGAAAACATTTATTTTTCCAATATTTAATGAATTTTTAACTGTAAATTTATAACAAAATAAATTATCATTTTAACACTTTGAGTGAAGGAAATGTAATTCATTATTTTTAAAATATTTTATAAATATATAACAATAATACAATGTATTTTTTTAATAAGTTATAAAGAAATATATGTTCAGAAATAGGAAAATGTTTTTAAAAATTGAATCTATTTCATATTTTTATCTACAAAGGCTTTAATTTTGCTAACATCTTTCAAGATTTCAACATGATTTAAATTTTTTACAGAAAATTTTAAATTATATGAATTAATCTTATTCAATTCCTCTATATGTTATTTCATAAAACATAAATTATTACATAAAATTGCATCATAATTTTATGATAGAAATAAATTTTATTGGGAACTGAGAAGATTATACAAATATACTTTAAAATTAAAGAAATAATCCCTCTAACATAAAAATATAAGCCTTGTGATTTAGTAAATTTCATCTGAAGAGAAATAGGTTAAAGCCTTCACACTCAAAGTGTTAAGTACTGAAACAGTCACTATAGGTAGATAATTAATCTTTTTGAGCTTTGTTTGATATATTTGTCTGGCTACAGGGAAGTCTTTGGCGTGGATAAAAAGAGTCACGCGGGGCACATGAAAGCCGTCAAACAGAGTGTCCAATGCCTCTGTTTATTAATTTATTATATACTTTTTAAACCTGTGAAAAACAATACAATTTTTTTAAAAATTTATTTGATATACTGTATTTTCTTGATTAAGCCACAGGGAATAAAAGTACTGTTAAAAATAAACCCAGGGTTGAATATAATAGGAAGCATGTTGAAGTACTGCACTATATGGGTTAATGTGGTTTAGAGTTTAGAAGTTCAAGTAAAATTCTACTACTACAAATTATCTAGAGTTGAATAACATTTTCTATTCCAAGGTTCACAAAACATTTTTTGAAATAAAATTATAAATATTGTCTAATTTTGAGTGTGGGAAAGTCACAATTAAGTTCATAAGTCAAGAGCTTATCAACTGAAGAATAATTAAGGAAATGCAAATTAGAAAGAGATAGATAGTTGAACCAGATGTTAGGCAAGATCTTGATTCCTACAATGACATACAAATAACAACATAACTGAATTGGAAGATTCTGAATTGGGTTAACTATGAAAACAGTAATTATTTTAAATGTTGTAGCTATAAATACAATCAATAAAAAGTTTTGACAATTTGGAAAATGTATGAATACATAAACAGTATTTCAGTTTTTACCTTTTCATCTTATGTTGCAAGGTAACTATATCCTTGATAAAATCCTGAGGTATATTTATGTTTTAAAAATAAAATCCTGGGATTTAAACAAAGAAATATGGTATGTTATTAATAAACAATACATATCATGATTAAGCAGTGTGTGTAATTTAATTCATATTATGATAATTATTTATAATTCAAATATTCAAGATAACAAGATAATGCTAAGTAAGCTATGATTTATCTTAGATTTACAAAATACTTTAATTATTTCTACTTAAAAATCATATTTCTGTACATACAAGGATATCATAACTGTGAAGAGTATTTTTTAAATAAGGTACCATTTTTTTTATAAGAAGAAAAATACTGTAAATATCGTTAAAATATATTTTTTCCCATATTCTACATACTTTTATCTAATTTTCTACATAATTTCCATTTTTGTTCAAACATTTGTCATACCGCCCAAAAATTTTTAAAATTATGACTTCAAAGAAATCTGCAGCCTGCCACCGGAAACATTAGGCCACGCTGCTTGTCTTTTATGGCACAGTGGAGTTTTCTCAAAGTCACACAATAAGCATCAAAATTGATTGTTGTGCCTCTTGGCATAAAATCCACTAACAAAGTTCCTTTCCTGTCCCAAAAGACAGTTACCATGATCTTTTGTGCTGAAATTGAATAACAGATCGTATCTTACAGTCGGCAAGTGACTCAATTTTCTTAAACATTATAAACTTCTACAGCTCAGCACACAGACAGATGATACGGCTGCAAATGGTATCTAAACACGCGCAAAGCTGATGCTCATGCACACTGCTGCAATTGTATGTCATTCTCCCTCTCATTCACAAAAGGACCTTATTTAAAAAATAGCCCTAATATAACTAAGTTTATCAGTTTTTAAAGAATAATAATCTTAAAAAAGTAAAGAACTTTAAGCATTTTTTTATGTAGTAACATTCTTCAGGAATTGCATTTTACAAAATAACACAAATTTCAAACAATACAAATTTCTCTTAGAACTTTGAAGAAATTTTAAAACTGAATATCTTTATATGATTCTATAATTATAAATTATATAATATAAATGTAGATTGTGGCAAACAAAAATTCATATAAATATAGATCTATTGTAGACAAAAATAAACTTTATACAACTATATTACAATTTTTAAATATTAAATATCAAATAATAACTGTTTACAGAAAAAATATATAAAAGAATATGCATTTTTTTAAAATTTGTGTTTAGAAAGAAATTTTTATAACAACAATAAAAATATATGAACAAAGAAGATATAATAAATATTAATAATATTTTATAGTGTTTGCAACAAAGAAAATAATACTTGCTATTAATAGAAACATTTACTTTATATTAAAATGCAAAACTTAAAAATTTTGCAACTTATTCTAAAGTATATAATAAAATGAGCTGTTTACCTATTTTAATTGTTCTTGATTTTTTTTTCTTCAATTTACATTGAAATCTATTGGCTAATGATACAGGTAAATTCATGATCATGGCATTAACCATTAACCATCAACAATTAATCATGATGAAAAACTCTGTTGACAACATTAAAAGTTGTTTTAATGTCATTAACAAAGTTTTTCTCATTATTATTAATAACTTTATGTGTGTTCAAAAAAGAAACTGTAATTTTCTCAAGAATCCATTAAAAAATGCAAGTATTTAAAATGAAGAAGAAAGAAAACATTTATTTTTCCAATATTTAATGAATTTTTAACTGTAAATTTATAACAAAATAAATTATCATTTTAACACTTTGAGTGAAGGAAATGTAATTCATTATTTTTAAAATATTTTATAAATATATAACAATAATACAATGTATTTTTTTAATAAGTTATAAAGAAATATATGTTCAGAAATAGGAAAATGTTTTTAAAAATTGAATCTATTTCATATTTTTATCTACAAAGGCTTTAATTTTGCTAACATCTTTCAAGATTTCAACATGATTTAAATTTTTTACAGAAAATTTTAAATTATATGAATTAATCTTATTCAATTCCTCTATATGTTATTTCATAAAACATAAATTATTACATAAAATTGCATCATAATTTTATGATAGAAATAAATTTTATTGGGAACTGAGAAGATTATACAAATATACTTTAAAATTAAAGAAATAATCCCTCTAACATAAAAATATAAGCCTTGTGATTTAGTAAATTTCATCTGAAGAGAAATAGGTTAAAGCCTTCACACTCAAAGTGTTAAGTACTGAAACAGTCACTATAGGTAGATAATTAATCTTTTTGAGCTTTGTTTGATATATTTGTCTGGCTACAGGGAAGTCTTTGGCGTGGATAAAAAGAGTCACGCGGGGCACATGAAAGCCGTCAAACAGAGTGTCCTAGATGGGACATCCAAGTGGTCAGCAAAAATAGCGATAACTGGTAGGTATGATGTGTGAATTCAGGTAGGTTGTGCCAATGGCAATGGTAGTGGTGTGCAGTGGCAGTGGTGATGGTAATGTGATTTGCCTGTGCTTTCTCTCGGTGCGTTTGGTTTATGTGCTTCTTATCAGCATGCCAGGAATGTGGTGTATTGATGTTATGTTGATGTGTCGTGTTACAGGCTGACATTTGGTGTTGATCCTGATACACATGTTGATGCTCTGCAACAGGGTGAGAGTTCCATCATGGAAGGGACTTGCAAGTGGTCAGCAAAGATTGCCATCACAGGTATACCCTCAGTTTGCTTGCCTGAGGGATATTCGGGAAGCTTTACATTGCTCTTTCTTTTGTTCTTTCTTTCTTATTTTTACTTTACTTCTGCAAATTTGTTTAGTTTAATGTTAAAAGTTTTTAATATTAATTTATTGATGAATTTATTTTTTACTCAAATCTAAAACTCTATCAAATTAATTTGATAATATACTAAAAACTTTTATTATTATATTAATTTTTTATTGTTTTCTTTTTTTCTAAATCTGTATTACATATTTTGCATATTTTTATGGGGATTTATTCCTTGTTATTTATAAAGAAACAATTTATATATATTTACTGTTAAAATAAAAATTGCTGTATGTAGGAATAGTAATTTTACATGCATACGCATTTAATAATTTTACACCTATTTTTAAATTATTCTTTCGTGAAATTTTTTTTAATCATAAATTTTATTTCTATTTAATGCTTACTATTATAAATAATTATTTTTAAAATATTGAAAATTTAGTGGTTAGTTGCTTTATCGGCAGCTTTTTAAATATTAGTTATTTCATATTCACTAATGAAAATGGTTTTGTATGTAATTAATTATTGTTTCTGTAAGCAAACATATATGTGATTGTCTAATTTTTAAGTTGATTTTATTTCCTAGGAGAAAAATTTATTTGTTTTGTTAGTTGTAGTTGTTTGTTTAAATAGATTTGCATGTCCTTGCTTGCTATCCTTGTAATATGTTATTGCTTTTATGTAGAAAATTATGTTGATTAGAAAAATATTTAATATTTTTTATACTTAAATTTTTAAATAATGAAATTTTAATTATGTAGTATTTTATTTATTAATAGTATATATAAACCTATTTTAATATGTTTTATTCTTAGACTTAGTTTTAAAAAATTTGTTTTTTCTTAATTAGAAATAAATAGCTTACTTATTAGCTATGAAATTAAACTGATATTGATTGAGAGATGATCAAAGAAAATGAAAAGTAAATGGTAGGTAATTAAGACATATTATCACCCTTGAATCTCTTGAAAAATATTTAAAATCCAAAAGTAAGAATACAGTAGAATCTGTTTATAAGGTTTATTAAATAATAAAAATGTTAGCAAATTTATATTAATGTATATAAATTGAAATAGTACATTATTTATTAATTAGGTAGCATGTATCAATAAATAATCTAGAAATTTTCAAGAAATATTTAAAATTCTTTCTTTAATTTACTAAAATATCATCCATATAATATAGATAAATTGGAAGGAAAAGACAGAATAATACCTATGTATGAAACCACAAATCTCTTGTTATTATTTTTATCAAAAAGATAATTTATGCAAGTTTAAACCTAGGTCTAAATGTTGGGGGGGAAAAGTATACTTCTGAACGACAAAATTTGAATTTTGCATATGTACTAGTTGCATGTTGTACAGGAGTTTACTGTAGTTGAAATCAGTCATTTTAGATGTTTTATAAATAAGAAAAATATTTTGAAAGAATAAAATATTTAAAGATGATGTTATCAAATATGCATTTGATTTTTAACATCTATAATAATTGAAAAATAAATATAGAAACCTAAAATTTTAAAATTTTTTCAAAACTTAGACATTTGTTGATTTTATATTTTATATTAAAATGCTTGGAATATCCTCTATGAACATAGGTATAAAGTTCAATAGTAATAATTTAAAATTATGAGTTAATTAAATGTACTCAGAATGTAACATTTAACTCTACTACTGTGGCACTTGCTTACAGTCTTGATGAGAAACATATAAAATCAACCTTATTTAATGCACTTACAATGTCAAGTGCAGTCAAAGCTACAAACTATTTTGCATATATTTAAATGTAATTTAAAATGTATATACATAATTTTTTATTAAAACTTGATCAATAGTTTTTTGAGAAATTATAGATTCAACCCAAGTGATTGGGCTGCAATTTTCAAATTGCAGACCTATACATTATCACTGTCTGAGACACAGTCGAGACTAAATATGGAAAGGTTAGGGGCCAGAGGCTCTGATTAACTGTAAATTAACTTCTAGTTGAGATTAGAAGTCATGTGGCATCAATTCAAAATTTTATCCAGAATGGAATTATATGAATGATCAGCATGACATTTATTTGTTATCAGGAGAAGTATGATGTACAGGGGAAAGACCACTAAAATTCAGACCAAATATGGAAAGCTTAAGGGCAGGACACCCTGATTGATTAACTATATAAGAACTTAAGGTCCAGACTGGAAATCATGTGATTTTTTAAAGTTAAAAGATGATTAAAAATTGCAGCCTAACATTGTGACAATATCACAATAAATAATTACAGTGGGTGATCAGTTAATGAACATAATCCGTTCCAAGACTTTATTCGCTATCTGAATTGTTCGTTAACTGATTATCGATTTACCATAGGTTTTAATGGCAATTTAATTAATTTTTCTGGAGACCCCCAAAAATAAAAAATATATACTTTCTTAGTACATTTATTTATATGTAATAATAAAAATACATACATATGAAATCTTGCATTTTTATTAGTCATGTTTTTTCCATTTGAAAGGGTTAAAGAATCTGTCTGGAGACCCCCAAAAATAAAAAATATATACTTTCTTAGTACATTTATTTATATGTAATAATAAAAATACATACATACACAAGTCTTGTGTTTTTATTAGTTTACATGTTTTTTTTTCGTTTGAAAGGGTTAAAGAATCTGTCTAATGTCGATTGCTTTTCTCTCTTCTTCAGGATTTTTTGTAAGTAATTAATAGCATTTCAATTGTAGAAATTCCCAAGACTCAACCTGGTTTGGATGCCATTCTGACATCCTCCCACTTCTTCAAAGGATCTTTAATAACAGATATCGGCATTAATCCTCTTTTTCAGAAGAAAACATATCTCGCCAAGTTTCTTGGTGTTCTTCATTCAAGAGTTCTTGGCATTCTTCTGTCGTCAGATCCGTTTCAGGTTCCATTAGAAACTCTTCGATTTTCTTTATTTCTCAGATGTGATTTTTGTTACTCCTTTAGCTGCTTGAGTCTTCTTGATTATACAGTATTTTTCTGAAATAAGATTGAATTGCAGCCTACTGTAGACCTGTTCAAGCCATACTACCCAGCAACATTAGGTATCTTCTGCTCACTCTCTACCTCTGCTATTATATTCTCATCTTTCAAAAAGAAAAACACACGCAAAACTTAACGAGTGCCTACCCGACAGTCTCGCAAATACATAAAAGAATTGTTTTGTAAGAAAAATAAAAGGCTGGAATTACAAGGGAGAGTTTCAAAGTTCGGAGGAATACTATCTGATCAGTATATACCAACTTGAGTGTTGATGTCAATGTCTCCCTCACTCTGAAAAGTTTCGAATTGTTGTCTGAAGACAAGGGAAGACCAATCAGTATTCATTATTTTATGTCGCTTCTTCTTGTGTTTGTTCTGTGGGGTGTTCATTATCCAATCATGTGTTCGTTATCCGAACATAAAAATCTTTCACGAAAGTGTTTGTTATCCAATCTGTTTGTTAACCGATCACCCACTGTACTTTGAATTATACAGGTGCTAACGTGGCTTTTCTTTTTAGTCTAGCGAAAAAGAAAAGTCACCTTAGCACTCGTATAATTCAACACAAGACTAGACAAGAAGTGTATCACATAAATTACTTGTTTATCTTTATAAGTGCTTCATATCAGCATATCATTAAGATATACTGATAAATTTGTACTTAGGATTTGTAAACAGAATATCAAAATAATCTTTTTAAATAGGTTCTACTGTGTTTTTGCAATAAATGCAATACATTTTTAACTAATTACTAAAATCTCTACTGCATAATTTTATTTAATATTAGAATATCTATAAAATGACTAACAAATGATAACAAATGAAATCTGTACTAATGAATAACATCCAAAAAAGTATTACAATCTTCTCTTCCAATAAAAAATTTCTAATTAGAGAATTAATAAATTTAAAGTAATAATTAAAGTTACATAAAACTTTTTAACTCTAACTACTTTTCTTTGATCACTTATTCTCAAATAACATCATATAATTTCATAATGTAATGGTTTTTATTTATTTATTCAAACCTGAAATATCCTACTTATTGTTTTCATTATTTCAATAATACTAATAACAAATTTACTATAATTTATTTAATTATGATACAAATGCAATTTAACTAAGATGCCATTTGAATAATGTAGATTTAAAAATTTTATGCATGACTTAATAGAGATTAATAAGTGATTACAATTTGTATAATTATAGTATAATTACAATATATACATAACTATTTTATCCCCAACAAATTCAGTATGATATATACATAAACCAATTAATTTTGATATTATTTTATAAAAACTTTATTGCTTAAAGAAAATAGATTATTTCACTTGTCTTGAAATGCAGCCAAACTCGCTGTGCTTGTATTAACAATTTATTTTTAGATAAATGACATTTGGAACAGAAAATTAAAACCCAAATTATTATTAATTTTGGCTTATGTATAAACAAAATGCTTTGACATAATTAGTTATAATCTGAATTTTCAAAAATATAATTAATAAATTAATGTAATTTAAACTAATATGCAATATATTTTTATTTTAACATTCATAAAAATTGTAGTTTAATTATAACAGAACAAAATATATCAGTATATATCTAATTAAATTTGTTTTTACTAAATGATTGGCTGCATGTTTTCTTGTTTATATAATCTGTGATACACAGTGGAACTATTGATATAGACAGAACTATTGTAATTTATTGTCATATGCTGACAAAATATATAAATGTAATGATCTTTCATATTATTGGACTATGTAAATTATGTTATAATAGTTCTTTTAAAATAAATATCAAGTTGAAAAAAATACCATTGCATATTTGGGGAAGATGTATACATGCATTAGAATTTACTATAAATTGCTGGGGGTAAAATATGGTATACTAAAATAAAAAATAAATAACAAACATAATTTCATTTTTATTTTGTTAAAATTAGTAAATAAAAGTCCATGTTCTATGTGATTTGATCTGCATGTGTAAATGATTGAAAACAAATGTAATAACGTTTTTTAAAGTTTTTTAAGATTTTATTATTATTTTAATTTGTGAATGTGAGGTTATACGGTTAGAATTTTTTCTCTCTGAGAGAATGTAATACAGTAGAGCGTCGTTTATCCGAAAGCTGGTTATCTGAAACATCTGTTATCCGAAAGCATTCTAGTCGGCAAATTTAAATTTTCGCTAGTGCTGTGGCACTGCAATCTTCGGCTATTTCTTGGGCTACTCAAATATTTTACGTTTTTGATACTAAATTAACATCTGAAGTATAATTTTTTATTGTTTTTATATTTTTCAATATATTTATTTTGTTTGTACAAAATAAAAAAA